TTCTCCTATTATTATAAAAAAAAATAATAATAATGGTGTGGAGAGGATGGCTAAAGGGGGAGAAGGGAGGCCATCAAGAAAAAAAAAAATAAATTCTTAAGTCTAAGAATCACTCTTACTCTCAAGTAAAGTTAAGACTGCTCCAGAGGACCCTTAAGTGGCTAAGAGTTGCCACTAGGGGTCTGAGATGGACTGAAGACAGAGGAGAACACAGAGAAGATGGCCTCCTCCCCACCTGAGTGTTATTCTCAGTTATAAGGTATGGAAAACAGATTTAATCTGAAATACAAAAGAAAAAATTWAAAAAAAATTTAAATTAAAACTGCGTATAATGTTGGACTAAAAGGCAGATATTTGTGTGTGTCCTTCGGATAAAATTTTAAATATACTCAACTGGTGAGTGCATRCTGTGACCCCCTCCCCATGAAATAAAAATTACGGTGGGATTGAACTTTCATTTATTATATTAACAATCAAGCAATACAATGAATGAGCCTGGGGCGGGGGGAGGGGGGGCTCCTTTCGAACCAAGCTGTTGACGGAGYGGGGTTGTGTGCGTGCATGTGTGTGTGAAGCTGGTGTTGTCTGACAGTGACGAAGAGGAGGAGGGAGCTGCTCAACATTATCTCAGGCTCTGAGACAAAAAACTTTAAAGCTGCTGAGTTTTTGATCACAAAAACTGCTCTCATGATGCAAATGAGAACRTTTTATGTAATTTACAGACAATCAGTACAAGGTGACAACAATTACTGTGTTGAAAGTGAACTTATCTTTCATTTCTCATTTCATTTCTCCAACAACATTCTTGAACATGAAATCCGAGGCAGTGATTGGTCCATGTCGGGGGGTTTTCTAACTACACCATCCAGGATCAGCTTTGCAGCACAGCCAGGTGTCACAAATCAGCTCTAAGACTGACACTTAAGAATTACTCCTACATTTCGTTTAAAGTAAGACTGCGACGCTTGTTAACTGACTTTTACTCTCAGCTTTTAACTAAGACTTTTTTTACACTTAAGTCCACTCAGCAGCGTTCTTAAGAGTAATTCTAAGAAGTTTTATAAATACGGGCCCAGGTCAGTGATAGAAAAATGACTCTGCAGACCTGAAATTATCATTTATAAACAAACAGCTGATCTTTCAACAAGACAAACTGTGGTTTCAATGCAGCCTAAAGGGTCTGAAATCACAAGCTGAAAATAACTTAAAGCTTTATGTTTTTAGATTTAAAAAAACTACTCTGAAATCACAAGCATCTACGTATTCATGTGTGCAGATGTGTGACTTTAYTTTTGTGAAGAATCCAGTTACAAAAAGACACAGTTAAGATTTCTCTTTTTAGCTCATTTGCATGCAGATGACTGACCATGTAAGGTGTGGCAAAATCAATGTGATACATCTGAGAATAGATAAGGTGGGGGAACAGAAAGATGACACACACACACACAACCAGCGTTGAAGTGCATGGCAGCGCTGGAAGACAAAGAAAGAGGAACACAGACTCGTTAAGGAAAGAAAATAGAAAGAGATGACAGAGTACGAGAGCCAAGCAGAAGCCCAGCTGCTCTGTTGAGCAGATCAAAACCCACGTGAAGCAGAAAGAGGCCGCCAGACATGTTTGATTAAACTGAAATAAATGAGGCGGCCAGGATGAGAGCCAGGCTTTCAGAGGGAAGGAGAGGGTGAAGAAAGAAAAAGTGGATAAAAGGGTGAATCCTCTGCAGTCCAAGGATGGAAACGTAAAACTGTTGCCCATCTGCACCTTTCATAACACGAACACACAGGTAAGAACGTACGAAACAGAACAAAAGATTAGTTTTGTCTTTGTAGTAGGTAAGGCAAAGGTTTGTTTTCATGTGTTGTTGTCCTGCTGTGACACTGTGTACTGCTACATCAATCTCTTAATGTTGTGATTTGCTTTGTCCAGGCCTTTTCTGTTATTATGTACACAGCACTCCGCAGAACTGAACCAAACCTTTCTCTGATTTCCTTTAAAACGCCCAGCTTCTAGTGTCTACACAAACAAAACATGTTTTAGTCACCTTCAACCCAGTGAAAATAACAAACATATCTTTGATTTGCAGTTTCATGCAGACTGCCATAAAGAACTCAAAACATTAAGGTTTAAAAATACAAAAACAAAACGGATGATGAGGCAACTATTCTGTAGTTATCCCTACACATTTATCTAGTTTAAATGTGCAGGGAGGAATGAAGTAGGACTGGGCAATATGGCTGAAAAATGTATCAGGATATAAGCGTTTTACATCAGTCGATATCGATAATCATTGATTCGTTTTTTTTATTTTACCTATTTGAAATAAGGACCATGAGATAAAAGGTTGATTAATACTGCCAAACTGGTGACCTTTCCTTTTTTTTCCACAATTTCCTCTTAAACTGTAGCACTCATTTTCTCCTTTCACTCCAYGTCGTTCTTTTTTATTCTGAAGCAAGAAACATGAAACTGCTGCTGCGCATGTTAATGACAAGCTGCTGCTCACTTACCAAAGAGTGAGTGAGTTAGTTGATGCCACCTACCTTGTTTAGCTTGGCCATGAGAGGTCGAGTAGCTAAAGTCTTTCCTCTGCCTACATCACCCAGAATGCCATGTAATTCTGGATTTGAGGTCACTAAAGTTATCTACATTCTATCAGACACATTTTCTATTTGATCAYGTGTCTATCACGATATATACTGTATCACTATTGTTTTCTATTGATATTGATCATGTTATTGTTTTATTGCCCAGCCTTAGAAAGATGTAAATGGCTGCAGCTGAGACTGATTAAAATGTAGAACAGGTGTGAGATGAGGGACCAGACTGAGGAATAGTTAACTAAGAAAAGGGCCACAAGAAAACTCAAAACAGAGAAACACTGACGACAAACACAACAAAACCCAGAACAATAAATAATAAAAACCAGTAGACACAAATCCTGACATTTTTTAAGGTGGAATCTCTAAAGGTCTCAAACTAAGAGTAATTTACCTTTCTACCTTTCTTATCCATTATTTTCATTCCACTTTTGCCTATTGATGCTTCACTGTTCCTTTCTGTGCATCCTCACTTTGCCTGTGTCCACTTTTCTGTTAAGACCTGAGGGACTGGCACATCTTCATGTCACACAAGACAGAAAGAAAAAAGTTAAATAAATAAAAGGCATAGAGAATGGGATTGAGAGGGAAAAAAAAGAGTAAGACAGGCAGGCCAACAGTGAATCTGAGAAAGATGTAGACCTGTTGGGAGCTCAGGGTTTGTGTTGTCATTGTCTTGCTGTTGTCGTTAGTCCAAACAGGCCAACAGAGACCTGCTGAGTGACAGGCCACTGACAGACACACACTGTCAATAAAGGCAGCCCACATCTTACATAAGCATTTTAGCAAACCCTGTCTGCTCAGGGGAGCACACAGTAGATGGACAAGGCAAGCAAGATAAAATGATAGTAACGTCTCTGTTTTTGGAATAAGGTATACCTGTGCTCCTAAATGTGAAGATAAGAACTCAAGCATGATAAAAAAAACATGTCATGACACACACAAGCTTGAAGCTGATTCACAATGTCAGCTAATAGAGAGAACAATCGGTCCAATGAGGACAGACGTCACGCAAGTGCTTGAGATTTAATCAGCAGGTGTGTGAGGAGGAGGAAAATGTTGAGTTGTTTTCTCCGTCGGTTTACTGTAAAATCGAATACCTTCTATAAATCCCTCCATCTTTCTACATTTATTTACAAAGCTGCAGAGAAATTATTGTTTGAATAAGAATATGTAACTGCATTTTGGTGACGCTATGGGATAGGTTCCTGTAGAAAATCAATAAAGGCAACTGTGGCTGTGTCCAAATTCAGGGGTTGCTTCCTTCGAAGGACCCGGCCTACCTGGTCTGTGTGGCCCGGGTCCTTTGTCGACCGCAAAGACCAGAATAAAGTGACTGTGAATTTGGATGCTCTAGCTTTCAGTATGTCCTGTCGCTTAGCAACCGTGACAGCGCTAAACAGAAGCAATGAAGATCAAAATTAGCAAAATATTAACATATTAATATAAATTAATAAAATGACTTGGGGAGGTAATATATGAAGGCCTGAGGTCGTATTCACATCTGATAGTCAGAGTTGGTTCGATTGGGGACCAAAATTGCAACCTTTGTTTACATTTTTACCTGGATGTGGTACAGTTCCACACTGCACTGTCAAACGAACTAAACCCTCTGAACAACCTGCTCACTGGCTGTGAAGGATACACTGGACCCATCCTTCAGATTGAGGGGAAAAGAGGACGTATTTGTGGGCCGCAATTGGAGAAGCCTTCGATGTAGGACTGACAGCCTTTAACGCACCATTGTGATGTAATCAGCCTTCAAATTTGACCTTTGAAGGATGCAGCCTCTGAATTTGGACACATCTTTGATTTCATTGGTTGTATCGTTTTGTGTTATGTAAACAAGAAATTCTGAAAACTGAACTTTAATAAAAGAAAAAGTAAAAATTGTTTCTTTTCAGATGCAAAAGTGAAATAAGCAATAGCACCATCACAAAATGACTAAAACCTGACTTGATACACCTTTGACTGCATTAAAAAAACATAACACCAAACCCTGAGAAAATGAACAAATAGATTACTTTAAACTATTTTTTCCTTTTTTCTTTACAAAGCAACAATGACACAAAAGTTTCATTGTCATTTAAAGAAGAACCCGTCCAGAGGACCTACTTATTTTTTTCTTTTTGACACAAAAGTGTTTTTTTTAAAAAGTATGTAAATGTATATTTTCTCTTACGAACTGTGAAGTTTCAGTGCTATTAAAAACTATAACTGTCCAAAGTTGTCTATTTAAACGACTGAGTTGTGGGGTCTCACCATACTGAGTCATGAGGCTGTGAGCCACGTTAGGGACTGTTTTCAAAAGGTTTCCCAGGAAGATGAACATGGACCGGAAACGCGTCACGTTGAACATATCACCCAGCTAAACAGAAAAAAAAAGATGTAACAGTATTCCATTCATAATAATGTCAAAGAAAATCTCCGAAAGAACTGAGAGCAAACATATTAAAACCTTTACATAAGTTTTCTGAACATTATATTAATAAACAATGCTGTGCATAAACTGATCATTAATTTAACAAATAGATATATTAAACCCTCTTGACACTTGTGTCAAACTCATCTTTTAATACTTTAATTTGAGCATCTGTAACTGAACAGCAACAAAGGAAAAAGCTACATCTACAATAATACCTTTAGCTCACTTGAGCTGAAATAAAAAAACTTTATGCAGCTACTTTAAAATAATCAAGTAACATCTTATGTACCCTTACACATAACAGAAACAAATGACAGAAAATGGCTCATTATCCTAATTTTGGAGAAGGACATAGATTAAAAACAAACTAAATTGTAGTGCCACATCATAAACATTTATATTACACATTAGAAAACACTGTTTATAGAACTTATTTTAAATAGTTTCTGCTGCAGCTGTGCCAAACTTGATTCAATATACAGTAACTGAGGGGAAAATGCAGCAAACGTTATATTCATGGTAAGAATGGGCTGTTTCTCTACTAGAAAAAGTCTGAGTCATTCAAATATACAGATTCCAAAAAAATAATACATTCATCATTTTGTTTTTTTACCCGTCTTTAGTAGTAACACACTCTGCCCCAGCATAGCCCCAACACATTACCCTCCACCCCTCCCAACCATCAGAGGGTGTTTTCAGCAGGACTTCAGGTAGGTAGACTATAATTTATCGCAGGTCYTTAGCCCAACCTATATGGATATGGTCATTTTTTAAGCAAAAATATGAAACTGGCAATGGTCCTAAATCATAAAGCAGTGGCTAACTTTAGCCCTTGTGAGAATGAATGTGATAAATTATTAGTCCTACCAATGTTGCTCTCTATGTGTAACGTCTTTACATTCAGTTATAATGACTTAGTTTAGCTCAGTGTTCTTGTTTTGCCAAAAAAAGTGTTGTGCTGGCACTTGTGGTGTATTAATTAGCAATGTAAAGGGAAAAATGAACATCTGTTATGAAAAGCATGAAGACCTAAAACTCAATGTTTTTCTGTGTCTAAGTKTGTTGTATGTGGACCCTTGGGATTCACGAGAAAATCTGAATAATAATCAAATAAACAGCATCAGATGCAAAATGTATGTTCGATTAAATACACATTACTATTCATGATCTAATGCCATCTTTCAAAGAATGATGCCAGGTGTCTATCAAACTGATAATAATACATTCAACTAAAATAATATCTGCTTATTTCTTGACTGCTAGTCCTAACGAGGATTTATTTTACAGAATTGAGTAAAATATTTTATTAGGGATTTAATCTACTGAGAAAAAACACAATCTGTCTACTTTGCCTGCTGTTAAACCTTTCTGTCATCATCAGAATAACTATTGTTGACTAGTTGAAAAASGATGCTATTCCAACTATTATCTACCCTGAGGAGACACTGAAGCAGCAAGAGGAAGACAAGCACCCTGTTTACTAAACAGCCCCCTGAGGATGATGCTGGTTACAGAGCTGGTGTTAAAAATTTAGAGATCCTGGGTTTCTTCTTGTGCCAGCATTTGTAAATGTGCTGGGGAAATGCACTGCTGTGTGTGTGTAAATGTGTTAAATGTGTTTGCCTTACCTGTTTGTGTATCTCATCCAAAACAAAGTGTAAGGGCAGCTCATTCTGGAACTCTAAAAGCAGCTGAACCAGCACTGTGACAAATAAGCACACGTAAGTGTACAGACAACAAACATAAAACAACAACAGGCACACATTAAATAAACCACACTAATTTCATGCTTTATAGAAAGTGAAGGTAATGTACAATTTAATGTACTTTTATTAGTAGAGCTTAAGTCACATAAATACAAACAAGATCACAATAACAATGTAAATTGGTTTAAAATATTTTCCTGCTGGATTAAACTTGTACAAACTTAAACATTAAATTACTCCCTCATTACTCATTTATTAGATTTTGGTATTGTGAAAGGCAGCAGAGAGCCTAAGCTGTCTGAGTGCTAGAAAATATATCTTGTCCAAAAAAGCTTGCATTATTGATATAAAAAGGTCTGCATATTCAGTAGCTAACTAAATTAATCATTAGATACAAAGAAAGAAAACAATATTTGAACTACACAGAAAGCAGAAGTGAAAATGATCTACATGCAACAGGGTGTAATCGCCTTCAAGATCACCTCAGTTACTGGCTTTGTGAGCAGAAGATGTTTTTCAGATTGTTTGAGCAACTACTGTGAGTGAGTGAGTGAGTGAGTGAGTGAGTGAGTGAGTGAGTGAGTGAGTGAGTGAGTGAGTGAGTGAGTGAGT